AAAATGAAATAAAAATTATCAAGATCAATTAAAGTCAGACAAACTAGTTTAACATTGTAATTTTAAGAGTTATAGATTTTTAGAACTTTCTCAAAACAAAAACAAAAAAGATACAAATTTTCATGAAAAGGTTAGGTTTTGTTTTTATTTAGTATTAATGTTTATAAATGTCACATAAACTGATCATATTTGGAGTTCAGACATGAAAATATGGAGCAGAAATCTTCCAAAAGTAAGGGTTCTTGTTTGTTATTAAGCATAAAGCTACACAAAGGACAGTGCTCTGATCCCCCTTCCCACGGGTGTCAAAAACCAGTTTCTAGCAAGTCCGTAGACATACCGCTGTGCCAGTGGGGGGGGGGGGCAAAAAGAAAGGAAAAAATAAACATTTTACTGTTAGGGTCACGAGTTAATGAAAATTAAAACTTTTTCAAGTCTAAAATTTGTTTATAAAATCTTTTCCCTATTTACAGAATTGTCTCCGATTGACCTAATAGCTTATCATCTTTAAACATTATTCGCTGAATGCCACAGTTTAAGTTTGCCGAATCCATTATACTTGTGGTATTTTCAGGTGAAACTGGTTTCTCCACAAGTATCAGATAGGTAATCCCGCTTATAATAGCAGATTCGATTAGGAAATAAGGGGAGTGTTCTGTATTCAGTAACTTGATTGGGAGTGTGATGAATGGAACAGATAAAAGGATTTCTTGAATTGCGCACAAAGCCACTCGAGAGCTATCTGATGTCCATAATTTTTATGTGATACACTAGAGTAAAGAAGCTAATCAACACTACCCACCACCAACTCTTTACCAACGTATGATTGTATTGACCATCACATTGTAACTCACTCACTGCTGAAAGGGCGAGGATGTTCTGTGACGGGTTTCGATCCCACGACCCGAAAGACTGCGACTCGAGAACTCTAACTACCAAATCATCCTTCGCCCATGCAGGAAAAAGAAACAAACTCTTTCATTCAGCACCAAGCACTCCAACTGTAGAAGTAACTACCTTAATAACTCCAGTTGCCAACCATACTAAAATTATGTCGAACGCCTCGTGCAAATGATACAAGTGACAAATTGATTGTCCAGCATGAGATAAGAGGTTTCATAAAGGACAAGATTGGCGGTTATAGTCCAGTTTATTTTTCTTTACTGACCTAGATCATGTTACTGATAAGTACCACGTGATCAGAGATCTTTTAGAGTCATTATCATGGTATTTTTATAGACATCCACTACTTCATTTTAGAAAACCAATGTTGCATTGAACTGTAGTATCAAGCGTGTGATAGGTGAACAGACATAGCTGGAAATATCTCCTCTGTCACTGGTTGATCAACGTGACTATTTTAGGTAATACATTAATCTGATTTGTTTTTCATCATTCTTTAAAAAGTCAGTTTTAAAATCCAACGAAGCGTTAATTTCATCACGATTTAACATGGAAAACTAGAGATATATACAGAATCTAATTTTGACCTAACTAGTTATGTCGTAATTCAGACATCTCTTTTCTTTGTTAGTGTTTAACTAAATCACATTTAACTTTTGCACACACTAACGAATTATATTGTGAAGTTCCTCCGTACTATTTAATATAACACCTTGAGAAAAAAAAAGCTTTGAACAAAGATTGCTTAACACTAAATAGATCTGATTTCACATTGTATGAGAGATGAAATAATAATTTAAAATCAATGAACAACAGTTTGTACTTAATCAGACTCAGTGACATAGAGTATAAATTACATTATCTGTTCACTGCAAACTGGTATGTCTCTGTCAATCACGTCCTGTAGATTGAAGCAGCAAGACATAGACACTCATTACAGTTTGATAGATTTACTAAAATTTACAGTAGTATTTCAGATTGTTTATTCTGTCGCTAAAGAATTACTTCAGTTGGAAATGTCAGTTATACTAAAGGATTTGTTATTGTTTGCAAAATTCTTACTGTTTGTGTTGTTAAAGAAGCTGTCAGTGCTTGCAAAATTCTTACTGTTCGTGTTGTTAAAGAAGCTGTTATTGTTTGCAAATTTCTTACTGTTTGTGTTGTTAAAGAAGCTGTCAGTGCTTGCAAAATTCTTACTGTTCGTGTTGTTAAAGAAGCTGTTATTGTTTGCAAATTTCTTACTGTTTGTGTTGTTAAAGAAGCTGTCATTGCTTGCAAAATTCTTACTGTTCGTGTTGTTAAAGAAGCTGTCATTGCTTGCAAAATTCTTAATGTTCGTGTTGTTAAAGAAGCTGTTAATGCTTATAAAATGTTTACTGTTTGTATTACAAAACATTGAACTACCGCTTTGGATTGGATGTTACAAAGAGTTAATTCGTTAGTGTCCAACAAGAATTTTAATGTCATCCTGGTAAATAACGATACCAGACAAATGCGAATAAATGAATATACTCTTTATTATTACTAATAAATAGAAAACACAGCGCGTGCTCTTGGGTAGAAATAAACACACTAGATTTTGTTAGAGCGTGTAAATTTTCACAGCTTTTTTTCTCTCAAGATCACCTTCTTTTGAACTCCGAGAAATAAAAATGGGCTGATAAACATCAATCCACCAAACTTACACAGTTGCCCATCTCTTCAATGTCTTTAATTAATCTATGAATATCTTTATCTACACTTTATTTTAGAAAGGTTTCCAGTAGAATATTCGGTTCGGTCTTGTCTGAGAACATCGTTTCAACCTCTTGTAACAGCTTTACATACATTGAAACGTTGATAACAGACTCAAAGTTTGGAGTTTTATACCAGATTACAAAAATACAGTCTTTTACACATTGAGAAAACTTACAAAAACACACCCTGTTTCATTTGCATCATAGTAAAGAAGGGTTTAAAAAATAATAGTAAGTAGTTGATTTTAGCCAAGCCAAGATTTATATGGATAAGCAAATCCCTTAAAAATTAGCGATAATTAAATTAAATTACTTACTGGTACTATTGATTATTCACAAGATGTTGTATTTTCTTTGTGTATAAAATGTTAACTACCTCTTTCTAAAGGTACCTTTCTAGGTACCTGATGATGACAAAACTTTGTCGAAACGTTGTACATTTGCTGTTATGTTAAACTTATATTAAAGTTTTTCTTCATTACCCATTCAAGCCGTCTCCAGCCATTATTAGTCTCAAAGTGGGTTCCTCGTCATCGAATTTGAGTCTGAAACTTTGTATTCTTTTAAACGGTCTGATACAAGATCTCATTGGCATTGTCTGAAGTAAGAATGTGCAAAGGTTATGGTTCGTATTTGATACATCTAAGAAGATATATACCAAGTGTTTGTGTTGAACTGTGTACAAGTTGTTATGTAATTTTTGAATGCCTTTCTTATTAGCCACAGTTTTTAGTTTATTCTGAAATAAAGATTATTTTCAACTTTCCACACCAACTAGTTTCTTATAGTTGCATTCTATGTAGACAGTTTCATTTTAAATTGTGTGTGTAATGCAAATGCCCTATACCTAAATCTTCTATAGTATATATTTCCAAAATTTGTTTTTTTTTCTCTTTAAAGCTCTATTTTGGAATATACAAATCACCCATCAGTTAGTATACAAATTCAATCATAGGGGTACTTTCTGAAGCAAGTTTCAGTCAAGGAAGCTATCTACTGTTTTATGGGATAGTTGTATTATGCTCTACTTTAGCTGCTG